GGGGGTGGGGGGTGGGGGGTGGAGAGATGGACTGGCTGGAATTCTATCCTTTTCCCTTCTTTGGCCTGAGAGGGAAAGGGGTGGTGCTGTTGAGCTGAGTGGCCAGCTGATGAAAAAGCGAGCCAAGAACCTCTTGTTTCCTGCTAGTTTATATCAAGGCCATTAACCTAGGGGCTATGAGTAGAATTAGTGGGGTCCGTGAACCCCCTAAATAGTATATGTTTGTACATTTTTCTGGAGCCCATAGCTTTTATACTCTCAAAGATGTCAGTGGCTTTCAAAAGGCCACTGATGTATCAGAGTCATATTGGCGAAATAGAGGCTTGTGTCTTTCTTCTCCTTGTGTCTTCCCTAGCTTATGGGACCCTGGGGGACCTGTTGCAGTATAAGGAGGTGAGGCTGGCCAGCTGGAATCCTGAGCCTCAGGGAACCTCATTTCTCCTCTGCAGAATCTCCTCTCAGCCTCTAAGCTCACCCAGTCAGAATCCTTGGATGAGCCTGTGGGACCCTTCCTCCTAGCCCTGTGGTTTGGAACCGGTGGCTTTGGGACTGGAAGAGGATGGACAAAGGTAGTATGAGGCCGGGCCAGCTCCCCAAACATTTGAGCACCAAGCATCTGCTGATTCCACTCCGTGCCTGGCATGTGTGTCTTTCCATCCTGGCTGGGCATTGCCACCTCCCCCTGGGCCAGCACCACTCACATACCTCTCAGCAGAGGCCACAATTGACTGACTTGCTGTTTAGGTGCACGCTTTGGCATGGCTTCATTTTGATAGCAGAGGGAGCAGTTATACCCAGAGCCTAGTGTGTCGGCATTACCAGGCTCACCTGAGCACCATGTGGTGCACAACATGACACATGGCACCGGGAGTGTGGGCCAGGTCTGAGCCCAGGTGGGATCTAGATGGCTAAGGAATTCCCACCTTAAAACCTCAAGTGTCAAGGAAGCAGGGGAGGGGCTGAGAGGGCTGGCAGAGTACAGGGAGGGCTGAGAAGGCCTATGAACAGAGGCTCAGGGTTCTGCTAGGCACTTAAGTTCATTACTTCTCTTTTTCTAGATTCTCAGGGGCTGCTAGATTCATCCCTGATGGCATCAGGCACTGCCAGCCGCTCAGAAGATGAAGAGTCACTGGCAGGGCAGAAGCGAGCCTCCTCACAGGCCTTGGGCACCATCCCTAAACGGAGAAGCTCCTCCAGGTAGTAAGGATTCGAAAGGCCAGGGACTGAGCAGGGGCATTAGGTACTGCATGCCTTTGCCCCAGTTGGGATGACTACCTGAGACCCTTAGGGGCCTAACGGTTGGCAGAGCCTTGTGTTTTTCTGTCTGTACTAAATCCTTGACTGAGGGCAAGGGAGTGAGATCTTAGATCTTTGACGTGAAGTCTTTGTGGTGCAATATCCTTTGCCTCAGAGGGGTGGGGCACAGCAGTTCCATGCCCCATCCACTGAGCTGGAGCAGTTAGCACCCTGTTGGGAACCTGCTCTGTTCTGGAGGTGTGGTGTGTGTAAGTGGTTGTTGGGGAGGGGGCAAGGATTGCTCACTGGGTAGGACTTTCCATAGGTTTATCAAGAGGAAGAAGTTTGATGATGAACTGGTGGAGAGCAGCCTGGCCAAGTCCTCTACCCGGGCGAAGGGAGCCAGTGGGGTGGAACCAGGGCGCTGTTCTGGGAGTGAACCCTCCTCTAGTGAGAAGAAGAAGGTGAGGGGTTGGGA